TGGTCACCCCAATTTGGTGACACCTGCAGCAGGTGGGTCACAGTTACTCCTATTTGGTGACACCCACAGCACTGCAACACTTTGGGTGTCCCTCCATGCCCTCCAGCCCTGTTCCAAGGGAAAGGGGACCCCAGCCCTGCCCAAGCAGGATGAGGCCCGCCCCCTCATACCTTCAGCAAGGTGCTGGTCTCCACACTGGTCTGCATCCCTGCCGTGCTGGCCACTGGCTTCTTCTGCCCGCTGACCTGGTGGGGGGCACAGATGGTGGGACGCAACCCCTCCTCATCCCCGGGGTCTGCACCCACCTGCACTGGGGTCTCCCAAACCCCACCCAGCTGGGGAGTGGTAGGTACAGCCATAACCCCTCCCATTGCTCACCACCAGGACGAGGACCCTGAGCTCCGGCCAGTGCGTCTCGGGGGCCACTTGGTGGGCCAGGCTGTCAGTGCCATCAGGTCGCTCCCCCCGCTGCCACTGCACGAAGCCCCCCCACATGCTGCGGCAGGCGCTGCCCGAGCCCCGCCGGGCCACCTCTGACAGCTCATCCTCCACGCCATAGAGCCGGGCCAGGGCTGACACTGCGGGGACAGGCAGAGGGCACACCCCTGTCACCCCTGATCCTTCTCCCAGTGCCCTCCACCCCACAGAGCCGGGCCAGGGCTGACACTGCAGGGACAGGCAGAGAGTACACCCCTGTCACCCCTGATCCTCCTCCCAGTGCCCTCCACCCCACAGAGCCGGGCCAGGGCTGACACTGCGGGGACAGGCAGAGGGTACACCCCTGTCACCCCTGTCCCCCCTCCCAGTGCCCCTCCACATCGTACAGCCAGGCCAGAGCTGATACTGCAGGGGATAGTAAGAGGGGACACCCCTGTCACCCCCACCCAGCGACCTCCATGCCATACAGTCATGAGCAGGGGACAGGTCAGATAGGCGGTGAAAGAGTGTCACTCCCTCTTGGTGCCCTCCACACCACACAGCTGCAGAAGGGGACAGGTCAGAGTTGGGGGGGGTGTCACCCCCTCCAAGTGCCTTCCATGTCATACAGCCAACACTGGAGGGGGACAGTCAGAGGGGGGGACACCCCTGTCACCCCTGCCACACGCTCCTGGTGCCCTCCATCCCGTACAGCCACAGGCAGGGCACAGGTCGGAGGGGGAAACACCTCTGCCATCCCTTCCTGGTACTGCACGAGGTGATAGGATCAGAGGGGACACTCCTGACACCCCCGTGCCCCGTCCCACACCCACCCAGGCAGGCGAAGCCAGCTGCAGACGAGGCCAGTCCGGCGGCCGTGGGGAAGTTGTTCTCAGAGGCGACGTGGACCTTGCAGGAGAGGAGGCCGAGCGTGGCCGCGTCCTCAGAGCCCCCCCGGCGCTTCCGGGCCAAGCGTCGCACTGCGGGGACAGGGGCAGTGAGGGGGGGTCGGGATCAGGGACCCTCCCGCTCCAGGGTAATGAAGGGGTCACTCACCCTCGCGCAGACAGGCCTGGACCCGCGGGTGCCCCACATCCGCCTCTGCCCCGTTGAGCCACAGCCTGTCCTCCGTGAAGTCCCGGCTGGCGGCGGCCGTGGTCGTGGTCTTGAGCTGTGGGGACACAAGGTGGGGGGCTCAGCATGGCCGGGCACGGGCTGGGGGCGGCAGGAGAGGCTGATCCTGATCCTGATCCTGAGCCAGACTTACCTGGTCCTGGTGCAGCGTCACACTCAGGGAGGAATTGATGGGCAGGATGAGTTCGGTGTCTCGCTTGCCCCCTGTAAGAGAGCAAGGCATGGCACGGCTTGGAATGGTATGGTATGGCATAGCACCACTTGGGATGGCACGGCACAGCTAGGAATGGCAAGGCATGGAAAACATTGCCACAGCACGGCATGGCATAGCACAGCACGGCATGGCACGGCACAGGTGGACATGGCACTGCACGGTCCGTCACGGTAACTGTGCCCCGCGTACCCCCCCACGCAGGTGCCAAACCCGTCCCCGAGCCCGGCCTGTCCCCACCAGGGTGTCCCGGGTGTCCCGTCCCCGAGCAGCCCCGCACTCACAGTACTTGATGACGGCGATGTTCACGGGAGCCGTGCAGGTGGCCATGGCGAGCGCCCTCTCCGCCGCCATCGCTCCCGGCACCGCCGCCGGCCTCAGGCCCCGCCCCCACGCCATGCACATCACCGTCACCTGTGGCGGGTTCTCGCCTCGCCATTGGTCAGCACGGAAGGGACCGGTAGGCGGCGCCCAATGGCAGCGATCGGACCACGGTGCGGCCCTGCCCCCCGGGGGCGCTGGGATGGGCGTGCGGGGGCGCCATATTCGAGTCGGGAAGGGGCTGCGCGTGCGCAGGGGTGCCGGTGCTCCCAGTACTGTTCCCAGTGTTCCCAGTACTGCTCTCAGTATCGCTCCCAGTGTTCCCAGTACTGCTCTCAGTATCGCTCCCAGTGCTCCCAGTACTCCCCAGACCGCTCTGCCTCCAGCACCCCAGTGCTCCCCGTGCCCTCGGTACCCCCAGCTCCCCCAAGGCACCAGTTCACCCAGTGACTCCAGCAGTGCCCCAGTATCCCCAGTACACCTCCAGCGCTCCCAGGATCTCCAGTGCTCCCAACCCCCCTGTAACCTCCACACCCCAGTGCTCCAAATATCCCCAGCACTCTCTTAGTGCCCCCAGAGCCTTCAGGGCCACCAGGATCCCAGTGATTCCAGCACTCCCAGTATGCCCAGTACCGCAGTACCCCAGTGCCCCTCCAGTGCTCCCAGCATCCCTTCAGTGCTACCAGTCCCCCTGCAGTGATCCCAGTAGCCACAGAGTCTCCAGCACTCCCAGAGCCCCTCACCCAGTGCTCCCAGTACAGCAGGGACTAGGAGCCACCCCCAGGCCGCCCACTGGGCACCCCCAGCCGGGCCCTGCTGCCTGTGTCCCCCCAGGGGTGTTTTTATCCTCTGGTCACTCACTCCCATTAGAAAACACCCCACAAATGCAGGTGTCCGGGGGTGCTGGGGGGCACACAGGGGGACACAGGAGTGACACCATGGGGTCACTACCAGTGGGGAAGGGGGGCACAGATCCCACTCGCCCTAAATAAACATCCAGGGGAATACAGGGGAGCAGCATCACCCCCATCCCCTCTCCACAGCAGGGATTTTGGAGACCCCCTCAAAAGAGCCTACATGGGGAGGCCACCCATGGATGAAACTGCCTTTATTGAGAAAAATGGTTTGCTACAAATACGTCATCGAGTTAATTTTTTTCCAAAAACAGGACGGCTCATTAAAAGTTCTAATTATGCAAAAAAGTGGTGGGTGACACACTGACGGGCACGGTGGGGATCCATGGCACAGCAGGATCCCTGGCATGGAGGGATCTCTGGCACAGCCCTGCACAGCCAGATTTGACCCCTCACACCCGGGGCCTTAAAGTGCTTTACAAAAGCAGCTGTTGCTGCCCCTGCTCTGGCTCTGTGGGGCAAAAAGAGTAGGGAAGAGGAAGGAAGGAAAGAGACTGAGGTTAACAGTGCTGTCCCAAAAGCAAGGAGCTCAGATGGAGGCTGCTCCAGGACCCGAGGGCCCCAGCTCAGAACAGGACAGGTAAACCCTTCCGAGTCCCTTTGGGAAGATGCCAATGCTCTCCATCCCACCAGGAACATCCTCCAAGCTGGGCAGGTGCCAGCAATGCTGGCAGGTAAGAGAAGATCCTATTCCTTCTTGCTGGCCTGGCTCCAGGGAGCAGAGCTGGGCAGCTCCAGCCCTTTCCATGCCCTGCAAGGGGAGTGGAGGGTGTCTGCACCTTCCTCCTGGGGCTGCAGATGCCAAAACCATCCAGTGCTATTAAAATCAAAATAAAAAACAAGCAGGTATTGCTAGAGCAGAGCTGGAGCCAGGTCTTGAATAAGCCTTGGGAGTTCTCTGAGCAGGGAGATGCAGAGGGATCCTCTCCTACCCCTTTTCCCTGCAAATCCTGCTGGAAGGTAGCACAGGGGATCTTGGGCATCACCCCCTCCCTCAGCTCCATCACTGGGACCTTGGGCTCATCCCATCACCAGTGCCATCTCCCTCCCCTCCTCTCCCAGCCCTCCAGAGCCAACTCCGGAGAGGGCAGAGAGGAAGGGGACCGAGGGTCACCAGGATGCCACGTAGCATCTCGGATCAACAGTGCCTTCTTCCCAGGGAAAGACTGGGAAAGGGAAATGCAATCCCCTATTTCTCTGGGGATAAGCAGCTCAGTGTTCCAGCTGGGATCCTGCATGGACAGACATCCCATGCACATCCATCATCTGGACACAATCCAGCTGCTCCTTGCCAGTGTGGCACAACGATCCTGCCTGCTCCCTCACAGGCAGAGGAGTTCTGAGCAGGGAAGGGAACAGCCCAGAAAGACCTGGGAACGGCCCAGAATGACTCAGGAATGGCCCAGGAAGACCCACAAAGGACCCCCGTGCACTTCCCACCACCGCAGAGTCCGACCTGCTGCTCCGGGATGCAGTTCCTGTCTCCCGCCCCATTCCAAATCCACATGTTCATTTGTCTGGGTTTTTTCCTGTTTAAAAATAAACTTTCTTAATAATGTTCCATAAAAATACTCTTGTCCTGGGTGACAGATATTGCAGTGTGAAGAGGAACAGCTTCTGATCCCACTCTAGAAAACGTGGAAAAGGCTTCACGCCGGTTCGTGTAGAAAAATGCAAGGACTTAGTATCCCAAGATCCGGTATAAAATGAGGAGGGAGTTTCCCTGGATGCTGGATGCCATCCCCGAGGGCTTCTCCAAACCCACTGTCCTCATGGGAAATGTGAGGGCAAGTCTCATCCCAGGATTCAGGTGACTTCAGCACGGGGGTCAGGACAGCCCAACATCTCTAGAAAAATCCTTGGAGAGTTTACAAAAAGATGCTCCGTGCCGTTTTCCTCCTTTTTAAAAGGATGTGGATGATACCAGTCCCAAATCAGGGTGTTTTGCATCAAATATATCAGTTTTAGGTACCTATTTGATTGCAACAAAGAGCAAGGACAAGTGTGCCAAAAAGCATCTAATAATAAATAGATCTGGACACAGGGATATGCTCCGAGTACGGATATGAAATGCCTAAACCAGGATTGATCCCAGCCCTTCGGTGCCGGCTCCTCTCTCCAGACGTCTCTGCTTCATCACTACGACGATGAGGAGACTCCACCTTCTGAAACAAGGTGGGATTTGCCCCCAGAGCAGAGGGAAGAGAGGCAGCAGTGGGGCTCTGGGGATGCCCACGGGATCCATGTCTCCCGGAAGGCCGAGTGTGCAAAAGGAGCCGGGGCAGGGAGGGGGATCCCCCTCAGTTCTCAGAGAGGGACAGAGCCAGGGCCGCCTGCAACGCTGCCTCCTCGTCGATGTTGTAATCCTAAAAATAAAACAAGGATGCTCAGGAGAGCTGGCACAGCCAGGGCACACCATCTCCATAGAGCCCTGCCCACTCCTGGTCGTGCCATGGAGGCCATGAGCCTCCGTTCCTCTGGCACACAGATCCTGGGAATGAAACCTGTGCTCTTTGGTGTGTGCTTTGTGCCCACATCCCTCTCCTGCCTGCAATCCTACACTTGGCAGCAAGGATGGAACATGCCCACACAAGCTGAGGCCAAAGGGTGAAGCTTTCTAGCAAGGCCACAGGTTTTTTCAGCACTCCAGGTCTGGTTTATCCAACACACCAATCACTTCTGAAACCAGGATATTCCTCTGTAAAAGGTTCTTTTCCCTGACATCTATCCAATAAAAGCAGGATGAGAACAAAATCTCCCCTGGGTCGCTGCAGCCAGGGCTGAGCCATCACACCCTCAATCCCACACAAGAGGGGTCACAGACCCCCCATATGGAGCAACCACACCCCCCAAACCCCAAGGCTGGGCTGTTTCCCTCCCCTTGCTCCTGAAACCTCAAAGAAAAGGCTTTTTGTGTTAAAATTCCTCAGGGGAAAAGTTTAATGGAACAATCTTTGCGGAGAGCAGGAGCATTTCAGTCTCCTCCTTTTGTGAGGACAACCAGCTCAGCACCCCTGGGGTGGGGGTCTCACGAGTGGGGAATACGTGTGCCACGTGTCTCCTGTGGAGCCCAAGGGAGGATCTGTCCCCTTCCCAATGGGATGGGCTGATCCCGGCACGGGAAGGAAAGGGCTGGTTTCACCCTCTGGCACAGGACACAGGGAGGGGGGTCCCCCTTTTTTTTTGACTCACCACGAAGGTGTCATAGGAGAACTTGTGCCTGTGGAGGAGGTGCTGGAGGAAGTTGGCACTCTTGTAGCTGGGATCTCCCCAGGGCATGGCTGAGCACACCGGGCACACCTGCAGGGACAGGGACATGGGAACAGTGACACCTGGACGCGGATCCTTCTGCCTTGACCTCCCTGAGAGGTGAGTGGTGATCCCCCCTTTCTGACAGAGAATGGGCAGAGAAAGTGCTAAACAGGGAGTCTCTAACAAATCAGAGACAGGTCCCCACCTCCCAAAGGGATTTAAACAAATTAAACCAGCTGGAAACACAGCTGTACCTCACACACATCCATGCCGGTGGCCTGGGGCAGTGTATTTGGATTCCCAGGAGTTTCCCTGCACAACCCAGCCCATTCCAGTGCCCCAGCATCACTCACCACTTTGTTGGGGTCATTTCTGTGGTTTTCCATGCAGTGCTTCACCAGCTCCTGCTGGTCCAAGTTCCGGGCCCCGCAGTACGGACACACAAACGTCGAGCGGTTGGGAATGTTGCTAAGGAGAGCAAGGAAAAGCTCAGATCCCCAGGGAAGGGGCTGGGTTGACTCCTTCCAAACTAACCCAGCTCAGTTTTGTGAGAGCAGAAGCCAGCCCAGCCCCTTCCCACCCCGTGGGTCCTTCATCCCAATTCACGCTCCAAAACACGGAGCAGTACAAGGGCTGTGGGTGCCAGGAAGGAAAATTGCTGATATTCCTCCCTGTGATTAGACAGGGAAAGGTAAAACACATGCTTGGATTTTGGGGCATGCAAGGAGGGACATGCTTCCCTACCCAAGGCGCAGGAATACCTGGGAATAGGCTGGGATGTGGGGACAACTGGAACAAACTTGGGGCAGTTGGCCATCTGCTCCTGCACCTTGGCGCAGGATGAGACGTGAGAGCGCATTTTGGCCAGGGTCACCTGGAGAAGGAGGACAAGAAACATTTCTGGGCTGTGGGAACACCTTCCAGGAGCCAGCATTGGAGCTGGACCTGGAGCCCAGGTCCAAGTGACCACTGGTCTGTGCAGGATGACCCACAGCAGTGGAAATGCCACACCCGCCCATCCCTCCTCGCAGGATGGAGATTTGGGGATGCACTGTCCCTGCAGGGATCCCCAGAGGTTCCCCACAAGCCACCCAGGCTGCACCAAATCCATTTTCCTTCAAAAAGCAGGAACTGCTGATGGGAGAAATCCTGAAAGTGCACTGACACCATGTTGGATTGCTCCTGGGCTGCAGTCAGGGGTGACAAGATTCTCAAAGTTAAGGGTTTCCATGCTGCAGGAAAACCTCCACCTGCTTTTGAAGGTCTGACTGTCCCATAAGAGCTGCAGCCTCTGACAGAGGCAGCTGGCAGGGAGCTCCTTCAGCTCGGCTCAGGGCAGCAGCTGTGACACAGGGGACACAGAATCATGGGATCATTTTGGTTGGAAAAGACCTCCAAGGTCATTAAGCCCAACCTGTGACCAATCCTCCCACCTTGTCACCCAGCCCAGAGCACTGAGTGCCATATCCAGTCATTCCCTGAACACCTCCAGGGATGGGGACTCTATCACTGCCCTGGGCAGCCCCTTCCAAAGCCTGACCATCCCTTCCATGAAGAAATTATTCCTGATGTCCAACCTGAACCTCCCCTGCTACAGCTTGAGGCCATTTCCCCTTGCCCTGTCCCTTGTTCCCTGGGAGCAGAGCCTGACTCCCCCAGCTCCATCCTCCTGTCAGGGAGTTGGAGAGAGTGAGAAGGTCCCCCCTGAGCCTCCTTTTCTCCAGGCTGAGCTCCCCCAGCTCCCTCAGCTTCTCCTGGTGCTCCAGACCCTTCCCCATCTCCGTTCTCTTCTCTGGACATGCCCATCAGTGTCTGTACTGGAGGGGGCCAAATCAGACCCCAGAATTCCAGATGTGGACCCTGTGCCCAGCACAGGGGGACAGTCACTTGGTCCTGTGCCCACACTGTGGCCAGTACAATCCAGGTGCCATTGGCCTCTTGTCCACCTGGGAACACCTGGGCTTATGTTCAGCTGCTGTCACCAGCACCCACAGGTCCTTTTCCAGCTTTCCAGCCACTCTTCCCCCAGCCTGGAGTGTTCCATAGGGTTGTTGTGACCCAAGGGCAGGACCCAACACGTGGCCTTGTTGACTCTCACTCCACTGGCCTCAGACCATGGATCCAGCCAGTCCCAATCCCTCTGCAGAGCTTCCTGTACTCCTGTAGATCCACATCCCACCCTTGTTTGGGGAAGCAAACCAGGGACAGCCAGTAACTCCCCTTCCCTGGCACCACGACTGTGGGATTGGGATAGGGATGGGGACTGGCAGCTTTACCTTCTTGCTGCAGCCTCTGCAGGGAGCCTTGTAGGATGAGAGCTGCTTCTCCACGCTGGAAGCCTTCTCCACCTTTTTGGGATCAAAGGGCACACGGCAGAGTGGGCACAGCGGGGATGGCACCTGCAGGCAGGGCTGCAGGCATTCCCCACAAAACCTGGGAGCACAGAGCAGGACTGAGCACCCCGGGAAGAAAAGCAGGATCCCATCAGGGTATACCCATTCCCAGAGACTCCCGGCACCCCAAAACCCAGGGATCAGTAGCCCAACTGGGAGAACTGGGAGGTTGGGAGAGGGTGAGAGGAGGCCCCCAAGATGCTCCCTGCACGTTCAGATGATTCCGCTGCCCTGAGACTGGATTTGAAAGGAGCCAAACAAAAATAGTGCTGAGTATCCAGGTCAGGCAGGGATGGAGTGAGCACATTAGAGCCCGGATCACTTCCTTCCAAGGTCCTTATATCCCCAGGAGCGTGGCTGAGGAATCCAGGTGGGGAGGAGGTGCAGGAAAGCACCTCCAGGCACAAGGCAAAGCAGCTCTGTCCTCAAAATCCAATTATCCCAGCATTCATGTCCCTTCCTACCCAGCTCTTGTCATCAAGAACAGGGAATGAAACACCTCAAACCCTCTGCCACTGCAAGGGGAGTAGGAATGAGCAAGGGGGATCATGGAAGGGATCTGGAATCATTCCCAGCCTCAAACAAGCTAGAGGGGGATAAGCGAGGCAGCGCTGGAGCTCCAAGCAAAGCCACAGATCCACTGGGGGTGTCCTCAAAATCAGATGGAAAACTGGATGAAGGTGTTCCTGAAATGCTGGGGGGACAGAGACAAGAGTTTGGGAGGTCCTGGGGTGGGAGCCAGGTCTGGGAGCAGAGGGAGCTCTGAGTGGTCAGTGGGACACCCACATCGGATCCAGGCTGGGGAACACTGAGAGGGACAGGGCAGCACCCATCCCCGAAGAGGGAAAGATCTAGGATGAGGACAAGGGGGGTGGGAGGGGGGTCCTGGGGCCGGGGGGGGGGGGGGGATGGGGGTCCCAGTACCAAGATAGGAGGGATGGGATGGGGGTCCAGGGATGAGAGGAATGAGATGGAGATCCCAGTGCTGCATGGGAGAGGCAGTGGTCTCGGATGAGATGGGTAGGAATGGGGGTCCTGTTATTTGACTGGGGGTGGGATGGGATGATGCTGAATTTGGGGGTGGGATGGGGGTCCCAGAAGCAGACTTAGGGGGGTGAGATGAGGATCCCTGGGATGGGAGGGGTGAGATGGGGGCCCCAGTGTGGGATGGAGGATTGGGATGAGGGTCCCGGTATCAGGATGGGAGGAGTGGGAATAGGGGTCCTAGTACTTGACAGGGGGTGGGATGGGGGTCTCGGTACCAGGATGGGAGGGCTGTGAATAGGGGTCCTGGTACAGAACCATCCCAGGGGTGGGAATGGGGGACCCGGTGTGGGATATTTGACTGGGGTGGGATGATACATCAGTACCGGGATGCCCCGTACTGAACCATCCCGGTGTGGGATGGGGGACCCAGTGTGGGATGGGGGTCCCGGTATTTGACTGGGAGTGGGGTGAGCGTCCCGGTACTCGACTGGGGGTGGGATGGGGGTCTCGTCGCCGGCCGGGGTCACTCGGCAGAGAGCCCCAAGGGATCCCAGCGCCAGGACATCGCCCAACGACCGCACCGCGCCCGTCGCCGGGTCATCTCGGGGGACCCCACCGCCCCCGCCCGGGCCCCGTCTCACGTGTGCCCGCAGCCCGCGATGCCGACGGCGCGGTGGAACACCTCGAGGCAGATGGGGCAGCTGAACTGCGCCTCCAGCGCCTCGGCCGCGGCCCCGGGCCCGGGGGCGGCGCGGGGGGGCCCGGCAGGGCCCTGCGGCCGCTGCGCCGCCGCCACCAGCAGGCTCCGGAACATGGCGGCGCCGGCGGCGGGGCGGGCGCGGCGTCACGGGGCGGCACCGCCGCGTCAGCGCCGCGCGACCGGAGCGCTCGGGGACACGGCGGGATACACCGGGACACGGCGGGGCCGGGAGGAGCCGAGCGGGCCCCACCGGGACTGAGCAGGATCCACTGGGACACACCGGGACTGAGCAGGATCCACCGGGACACACCGGGACACACTGGGACTGAGCAGGATCCATTGAGACTCTCCGGGACTGAGCAGGATCCACCGGGACACACCGGGACCGAGCAGGACACACCGGGACCCACGGGACACACCGGATCCACCGGGACTGACCGGGGCCGAGCGGCGCCTCCATGTGCGACGTGTCGGGCGACGGTGGCGGGTGCGGGACGGACGCGGAGCCGCCGCGGCGCCGCCGCGCACCGGGAGACAGGTGGGAGCCCGCTCCGGACCAGGATGAACCCCCGGTAACCTCCCGGTATCCCCCAGGCATCCCCACCGTGCTGCCTCCGGTATATCCCCTGTGCTCCCCCAGTACCCCTCGGTACCGCTCCGTTCTCCCCCCGGGTGTGTTCCCGATATCTCTCTGGTACCCTCTGGAGCTGCCTCTGGTGCTGCCCCTCCCTCCCCCCGGTGCTGCCCCTGTACCCCCTGGTGCTTCCCCTGGTATCCCCCGGTAATGCCCGGTAGCCCTTCGTGCTGCCCTGGGACTGGGACCGCCGCCTCCCCGCCCGGTACCGCCTCCGGGGGGGAGGTCGGGTCCCGGTGTCCCCGGTGACCGGCCGTGTCCCCACAGCCACCCCCGAACCTGCGTGAAGTGCGGGCAGGGCACGGCCGCCCTCATCATTCGCGTCGGGGACCCCTTCTGCCGGTGAGGGATCGGATGGGAACAATGGGATGGGGGACATCAGGCTGTGGGGTATTGAGTGTTTGGGAAGTTTGGGCTTGGGGACACCGGGACTTGGGGATATTGGGACATCAGGGCTTGGGGACTTTGGGGTTTGGGGACATCAAGCCTTGGGGACATTGAGTCTTGAGGATGTGGGGAATTGGAGACATTGGGTTTTGGGAACATGGGAGCCTGGGGACGTTGTGTCTCATGGACCTTTGTTTCTGGGACATTGGGTCTCTGGGA